AAAAGTGAGTTGACCAGAAGATACAGCATCTTCTTAGGATAGTCCTTCCTGTCTGACTTTATCGTCTCATGTTTGGGGGACAGTCTGCTCCAGCTCATCGAGCATTGTGTGCCCCCATTTCTCTTATTGTCCCTCTGCAGCCAGGCCTCATTGACTGGGTCACTGCAGCAGGTTGATGTCTGCCTTTTCATTCAGAATGTATATTTGCTTCTCTTTTGGGACGATTCTGCTGCTGCAAACACATGACGTATATCAGGATGTGTCACTGTTGCGATGAGACAGGAGACAGGCTATGATCCAGATGTAAAAACAAAGTTGGAAAGAGAATTTTTCTGAAAATGTTCTGGATGCTGCCCTGAGTTTCACTGGATCCTTCCTGGACAGATGCTCCCGTTTGTCACAAAGGCAATTTAAAGGACCTCACATACGTATCGCAACTTACTGGACTTTTTTGAACATCTTGAAGTCTTCTTAATTATAATGTAATCTATGACTGAGTTTCTTAATAATTGGGAAAAATATTCTTACAGATGGAGTGTTTTTGGTAAAAGTGTTCTTCTGTCCTTAATAATGTATTAATATGATACACATTGAGAACAAAACAAAATCTTTCTTGAGTAGAAAAACTACAAAATCAAAAATAACATTTCAAGAGGGAATCTGAAACTAAAGTATTAATCTTACTATGGTATTATGGATCTAATACTGATATCAGCTTCGTATCGATTTTATTGATATTTTGGTTTGATCCACCCGCATCTACTAAAAACCAAAAGAAAGCCAATTTATAGCGAGGAAGATCATAACAACGTGGAAAACATTTCAAACAGTTACCAGTCTTCTTAGTAATAAATGAGACTTTAATTAAGCCTAAAAACAGACTGAAACATTTAGGGAAAGTACAGATAACCCAACCGTTAGCAAGAGTAAACATGTGAACCAAAAAATGAGACGAGAAGAGATATTTGACCATAATGCTCACAGACATATTTGATTTAAAAAACAAAAAACAAAAAAACAAAACAAGAACACACACACAGAGACACACACACAGAGACCGCAAATCAACAGCAAAGCACAGTGGTGGAGGGTTGATGACTGGGACTGTTTTGTTTTTTTTGGTTGCTAACAGGACTTGGGCATTGAGCCACTGACCTGGCCATGATGAGCTCATTTGCATATTTCATAGTTTATCTTCTGAAAAATAGAAGGATAATGTCACTCTATTCCAATAAGACTCTTTGGGGTTCCATTACACATTAATATGGGATTTTATTTTTTTGAAATTTAGATGAAAGTAGAAAGTTTCACAGCCGACTCTGTTCTCCTCTACTCTATTCTCTCACATTTCTTTGTTCCTCTCAATCGTTCTTATAAGTTACAGTCTGCTGTGTCTTACACTAAAATTAGATTTAGCTCAATTACAACGTTGTACACACCATAAACATATTGTATTTTATGTGTAACATGTGGTCATAAGTGAAAAAGCTTAACTCCCACTACAGTAGTTCCTTTGGACCTGGTGCACAGTCAACTCTCTTCCTGAACTTCAGACAAACTTGTTTGTTTTTTTTTACCTTTCTTAACTCATCCAATGAGATCATTTCCTTCTTTGTTACTCTATGTTCACACTGGAGTCTAAAGTGACCCAAATCAGATTTATTTTTGCCCTCATGCGACCTTCATCTGATCTTTTCATGACAGTCTGAGCAACACACAACTGATTTTTTTTTTCCAGTGCAACCAAGGCCACTTGGATATGAGGTCCTGAATGTGATATGTTTCTGATCTTTTCAATTGTGAACTGAGTCAGGTCACATTCATCCAGCCTGAACGATAAAAGTCACTATTCTGCGTTGTGATACGTGGAAGTACAAAGAAAAAAACACAACCATGGAGGATGATAATGAGGATTAAGTTGTTGATGTGCTGGTTCCGGTTGGACAACAACTTTAAAATCACAAGATTTGCTCCACCATTACCATCCATGTTTTCTTCCCCAAACACTGATCATGCGCCTCTGACGGTGTTGCATCCTCAACTGCCGGTTCAGGTTACTTGCAGTTCATACAGGAGATCACAATTTGCATGTATTTGGACATTTGAACAACCCCCAGCGCCCCCAAAAAAAAAATCTGATTTCACAAAAACATCTGAATTGATCATGAAAGCCTGCAGTGCGAACATACAGTAGATTCCTGTCGGTGTTTTCCTGTGATTGGACGAGGGCAGTAACAGCGTCTTCCCCCCCATCATCAGTTTCTGTCCGGCCTCTGTGAGCTCAATCAGCAGGAGAGCATCCTCCTATTCAGCGTGTCTGCGTTTTGAGTCCTCACTTGTTAGTCACTTCACAGCAGCTTGCACTTTAATCGCCACTTCCTCTCCTCTTTGTCTCATTCTATCTCTCTGTCTTTGCAGATCGAAAGCTGCTACATGATGTTAAACCTCAAAGTGAGTCTTCCTCTGTGGATTTCTTTCATCTTCTTCTCCCCCCCCCATACCCATTCCTCTCACCCTCCTTCCCCGGACCCCTCTTCCCCCCCATCTGTCACTTACGTGTAATTTACCCTGAAATCTGAGGGCAGGAGATGATTTAAATTTAAAGCTGGCAGGAAAAGAAAACAAGAAGAGTGACGGGCTCTCTTTCACGCTCCCAGAACGCGGCCTGGAAATAGAAACATCACGAATTATCAACCGTTTAGTTCACCTTGATCTGAGCAGCTCCAGAAATTAACCCAGCAAATGCTCATTACGCATTCTCCATCATTATTCAGCGGCTGACTTTTTATGACAACCGTGACATCACAGCTGTGTTTCTACTTTGAGCCAGGAGATGGATTGGTTGTGACAAGTGAACATGTGCTGCGTTGTGGAGGATTAATGGGCTGTAATCATTGCAAACGAGCTAATTTGTCCAATTTACGGCACTGTCCTGCCATTCCTGTGGCAGCTCTCAATCACGCGGCGGACTCGGCCCGGTTAAGTGATTGCCAGCCTCTACTGTAGCCTGAGTGTTTTCATTAGCTCGCCAATTTAGTGTAAAATCTTGCCTACTCCTTTGCTGTCAGGCTGTAAGTCTAAGTTGAATGAGAACAGGAAGTGCATTTTGCTGGACTGTGGCAGTTGATCTGAATCAGCTTCATTTAATCTGTTTCTCATTGCATCAGCTTCTGACCGTCGTCTCTAGCCTGAACACAGTCTGGGAGGAAAACACAGGCCAATAGGCATAAAGGAAGTTAGCTTCCAAACAAAGATTCTGTCTCAGCGACTGCACTGTATAATGTATATAGAGTTTTTACAAAGTTTATGGAAAAGTGGAATTGTTAAAAGTATTACAGGAATTTTGTGGAGACAGAATTCCTTTTTCTCTCCCTAAGGACATGTTGCATGTTCTTGTTTACATCTGGAAATTTCACGCGTGCGTTAACGCTGGAGGGCTAAAAGACTATTATCTTACATGCCATCCACAGCCATGCTTCCATGGTAGAACAATTTCATTAACAAGATTTAATCCTGGAGATGTAGGTGTTATTAATTCAGTGCAGTGCGCCACAGCAAAGGGAAAAATAACGCTGAAAAACTGTTGAAGAACAACTCAAAACTACTTGTGTTCTCTTTTTTCCCCTCGCTCTCATTGTCGGCTACACTACACTCAGACTTGTTACTATAGCAACTGACAACAGCACCACTAATGCATCAGGATTCGACACTGAAAAACACGCAAACATTTCCCACACAAAGAACAGAACATTCGGTCTGTTGCCGTATTATGTTTTCAGGTTGGATGTTTATTTGCGATTATTAATGCAATTATTAACTAGTGATAACTGTGGCAAATTAGCTACCATATAGTAGCTACTTTAGATTAGCTAATTTCAACACTTGCTCCATTGGTGATCTGTCTGTAGGTCACCTGAAACACACCGAATTCCACAGCATATCTACATGCTGAGGTTGTCAAAGTCAAGCTAGCATTACTGACCTGCTTCCTTCTCCCTAGCTATTTATTTTTAAATTAAAACATTTTCCAGACTTTATCTAGTTCTGATCATATTGAGAATTAGTAGCAAAACACTCTGTCCCATTTTCTTTTACATATATCTCGCATATATTTAAGATTTAGAACATTGTATTGACAACTTTACAACTATCACCAATGGTAGTCATCATCAGCAAACAGCTTTTTTGCCCTTCAGCATGAAGCTGTGGGGCGGGATATTGTGTGTGACTTCACGCTGTAGTGTTTCTATACATAGTTCCAACAAGAATGGACTGAAAGGAAATTACCCTGGAAACCCGTCATCTTGGTAGGAAACCAGTTACATAGGAGCAGCATTAGTAACCTCATTACCAAGACTCAAATGAGTGTTTTCAGGCTTTTTCTTCTCTTCTGGAGAACCAGTTTGGTATCTAGCAATAGGACATCTTACATAAATAGTCAACAAATCATTTGCGTTTGCTGAGAGTCATGCAATGAGGAGGAGGAGGATGTGATCAACTGTGACAATGAGAATTGACTGCATGTGTGGTTGCATTCTAAGTGACCCGTGTCTCGAAAGACTTTTTTTTATTGTGAGCTTTGTAAATGTCAGAAATGGCAAAAATGCATTCATAAAAAAACAATAGGAATGTACATTTAAGCAAGTACTGCTTATTAATATGTGATAATATGGTATCATGAGCACTGGTTGCATGTGCTGAAGTGCAGCAGCGACTTTGAGTGGAATTTAATTATTTTAGTTCAAGTGCAAGAAGAAATATATTTGCACATCTACAGTGTATTGCATACTTTACTGAGACTCTGGTGAAACTCTACCCAGGGAACCTGTTTTCCTTTGGTAAATCCAATGGATAAGAATACTCTCCAGACTTACCCTCGTTCCTGGAACCATGCTCTCTGATGATGTTTGCATCCACACTTGTCAGTGGAGGACTTAAAGGTTGTGGTTTTGATGGACTCTGTTTTTGTTCAGACATGTTGAAAGTTTGCTGTTCATGCAAAGCTATCTTTATTGAGGCAAATTATTTTGAATTTTTAAATATGTTTAACTTTTGAATTTGGGTAATGCATTCAAAAATTGTAAAGCAATGTCCACTTTGTTGAAAAGAAAAGTCTAAACAAAGACTAAAATGCAAAAATTAATGTTATGTAGTTCAGGTGTTTCAAACCGACCAGCTCCAACAGAACGCTGACCAGAGCTGCACTGTATCTCTCTGGTTCATTGCTTTCTGTTCTTCAGAAAGACGTAATGTTTGCTAAATCATCTAAATCTTAGTCGGTCTACTCCAAAAGTTGGCGCATGTGCTCAAGATCACACTTTTCCATGCTGAGTAGCTCTCTGATGGCAGACGGCATGTCCGTCGGTTCACATCGGTGGTTGAGATGTTGAGTCTTAAATCACGGGCCAATCAACGAATGCAGTCTGCTGTCAGTCATATATCTTCTGTGCATTACATGGCTTGGTGTGGCTTGTACAAACTCTGAAGTGAGTGCAAAAAACGGAGAATCACTCAGAATCTGGTACAGTCTGACCAGGGCGGACTAAGGCAGAACCAGTGAAAGCCACTTCAGTGGAGAAACAATGTTAGAGTAATGGCAGGCATGACGATTGGTTTCCATTTTGTTCAGGCTTTGAGAGGTAGCGCACGGGATTGTTCCAGCTTTCTGTTCTGTGTAATGCAGTCCTACCCCTGACAGAGTTTGCCCTTGAACATCTACATAATAACAGGCCTGTCTCCATCACCTTGCATCATACCCTTTTCACTCTCTGTGGGTTTTTATTCATACAACAAAGACAATCCTCTTTCATCTTTAAGACGGTTTCATCTCAGAAAATAAATAACTGAGTCCAAGTAATGTGATAAGAATCACATATTTAATACCACAGAAAAAAATAAAACCGCAACACTCTACACTAACTCTCCTGCTTTAAAGGAGATGGTCACCTGATGATTAATTAATTGTGTCTTTGGAAAGCAACCCCATTTCAACTCCAGAGATGCAGCAAAGGTGTACATCGTTTTTCACATGACTGAAAAAGATGTCGTTGTATAAAGTACCAAAAACTCCAGTTTCACTGGGTTTCAGTTTTAAGTTGGATGTGAAGTGCTGACACCAGACAGAACTGATCCATGATGAGCCTCTGTGAATTGTACCATCGTTCTTCTCATCTTAGCTGACCAGCATCAGTGGTCTGTGGTCTTCTGCTGCTGTAGCCCATCCGCTTCAAAGTTGGTTGTACTGGGTGGTTGTTTGAGCCTCGGTTGACTTCCCATCTCAAACCAGTTGGTCAGATTTTCCCCTTTGTCATCAACAAGGAATTTTGTCCTAGTAACAGGTGGAAACTGAATATTTTCTCTTGTTGGAATTGGTGTATTCGGGAAAGTTTCTGAAATGCCAAAGAGAACGCCACCTTCAGTCAGTTAAATCTCTCTTCTACATTCTGATGTTCGATTTTTACCTCAAGCCGTCGTTACCGTTGTTTAAAAGTAATTGAACAGGTGTAGCTAATAAAGTGCCGAGTGAATCTGTGGACCCTAACAAAGTAAAGATTCTGTGCTGTTGTTTTTCTAGGACTCTATATCAAAATCAATGCAGCAAACTAAGCGTCTATGTGTTTACTCCACATAGTTGAACTATATTATGTACAACAACAATGTAACTCAGCCGCCCACACTCCAGTTCAGGTGAGCTCTGCTTCTGGCAGGTAATGTACACCACAAGCAGGGAGGATGAGCGACCTCCAGAGGTCATGGATGTTTTCCTTCCTCTGAGTCGACACTCCCACGTTTTTCTTTTGTTTTTAAAAGCTCACTTCAGGTCATGCTAAAGTCACACACATTTCAAAACCTGCATAAACACACTGGTTTTATCCTCAACATAGCAGTACAAACAAATCAAAATTCGGTAGAACTATTATGTTTAGCTTACATAACATTAAAAACACAATAAAATGTTTAAAAACAGAGGACGTTTACTTCTGTATGAGAACTTTTTCCTGTTTTTTGTGTCTTCCAGACATGGAGAGCTCCATCGACGTGGCTCTGTACTCGGGTCTCGGAGCAGGAATCGTTGCCGTGGTAATCCTGGTGGTGGCCGTCATGCTGTACAGGAAGAACCACAGCGACTACGGCGTTGATGTCATTGACTCTTCGGCTCTCACTGGGGGTTTCCAGTCCTTCAACTTCAAGACGACCAGACAAGGTGAAGCTACTTCTTCTCCTTACCTTGTGTGTTGTGGTGTTGAAAAAAGGCCAGCTGTAAAGAAATGGAGAAAATGCATAACTGTCCATGACTTCAGTATCTAATTTGATATTAAAAATTCCATAATTTAATAAAAACTGAGAATTACCTTCTGAATTACAACACATTGTCAAATACATCTTGATTAAATTATTCAGAAACTATGTTGGACTGCTGTCAATTTGAGATCCGTTAATCTTCATTAGTGCAGACAGAACATCTGCACAGCATAGCACAGAGAATAGTAATCTGGCATTACTGATAACATTTCAAAGCTCACATTTAATATATTTGATGTGTATGTGATGTATACGCCAATCAGACATAACATTATGACCATTGAAGGAGCTTTTCCTGAAAGATATACTGTAATTCTCCCTACTGGCTGCTTTTATGATCCTATTGGATTATAATTATAATTGAACAAAGTGTTTTAAAAATGGTGGCACGAGTCAGTGAAGCACTTTGTTTGCAAGTGTAATATCTGAATAGACAATCATACTTTTCCAACTCAGAAAATTATCCTTGGTTATAGTTTTACAGTAATGACATGAGTTATTCATCTTAATCCAGATCTTCTGAAGTCTGCTCAGAGAGTCTTCCTATGTGGTCCTGCTTGCCTGAACCTTGTGAGCCGGAGCATATCATCCTCAGTGGACGAGGCCAGATCCATTATTTAGAAATATTTTTATGAAATAGTGTGTCCTCCACTTAAACCACACACACACACACACACGCACGCACGCACGCACGCACACACACACACACATTTGTGTTGCTATCTTTGTGGGGACTTTCCATTGACTTCCATTCATTTCTACAGCCTAAACCTTACCTTTACCCTTTTCCTAACCATCACATACCTAACCCTAACCAAAACTCAATTCATACCTTAGCCCTAACTCTGACCCCTGACCCAAAAACAGGGTTTCCCCTCGTGGGGACCAGGCTCTTATTCTGACAATGGACATTGTCAGCATGCCTGACCTTCTTGCAGCCATGCATCTCCAAACACAGCAAACTGGTGCTGTGTGTCTTCTAACACCTTCCTGTCAGAACCGATATGAACTTCTTCTGCAGCTGGAGCCAGCTTTCTGTTGACATGGTCATCAGTGAGCTTTGGCCACCCATGAATCTGTTGCCTGCACAACACTGTTGCTTCCTTTAATGACATTTGATAGATACTGACCTCTGTGCCCCACTGGCTGGTCTAATCCAGTGTTCTGACAATAAGACCATGAAAAAATATGCAGTCAAAAGGTGGAACTCATAAATTTGCAGTGATATGGTGTTACCTCACTGCTGGAGTGATGGAGGGAAGAGAAGAGAAGAGGAGAAACAGCTGCAGCAAGGATTAAAACCTGCTGTTGTGATCATTTCGTAGTGACTACACAGGGACACTGCATTACAATCCCTTCAAAAATTAGAGAAAGTTTGTAACATACACATATTTTAAATAAATGTGGTGCAGATGTGCATAAAACACACACACACACACACAAATGCAGCAGAATCCTAAAAATCTGTTATGATCTGTTATGATCCCTTCACAGCAATCCCTCCAGTCAAAGTAAATGAAGTATTTCCTCCCTACCAGGGTGATTTTCATAGTTTGTTTTTACCCTATTTAGTTGTTTGTAGATCATTAAATGGTGTGGAAACAGAAAACAATACTAACAGCCTCAGAAAGCTACGCTGCTTCCTGCCAAAGGTTCTTGTAGTGGAAACTAGAGGATACAGATCAGTTGACATTGAGCCAAAGCTCCTTCCCAGAAGACAATGACCCAAAGCATGCAGTTACAGATACATTCATGGGGATCACATCATAATTGTGTGTTCCTATTTTGGACATCTGTCAGAGGCCATGAGATTGTACCTGACTGCTGCGTGTGACCTCTCATAAATATGACATTTATGCCAAAATGTTTGGCAACTCCAAATAAGTCCATGCCAAGCTTTATATGTCTGATTTGTGGTGATGCTGGTAGGTTTTTTGCCTAAGGCAGCTGATGTTCTTACCTTGACACTCAAGGCAGATACATAATAGTGTGACAAGGGTATAAAAAGTAACGTCATCAACAGAGAGCAAGCACAAGGCCAACAGGCGATGTCACGAGAGAGAGAGTTAGAGAAAGAGAGAGAGAGCGAGAGAGAGAGAGCGAGAGAGAGCGCTGCAGCTCGATTGATGGCGTTTGCCTGCATTAAGCAGAACGGGCTGCACCCTCCCTGTCGCTGTGAGATTTATGCCTCAATAATCAGTGAAATGACCTGTCCATCTGTTTTGACAGACCTGCACCTCTGTTATTCTGTTGCAGGAGATAATCAATCTCTGATAGACAACAGCAGCACTCAGCCCACCTCCCTCTGGACGGTGTGTCCAACTGTCAGTCCACCAATCTTCTACATCAGATTACAGCAGCATGACCCACTGATGGATAAATGAGAGATTTGGGGGGTGGAGGTGGGGTGGGGGGAGTTATGGAACAGTGAGCATCAATTCAATTTTTGTTGTGCGCAGCAATAACTTCTGTAGCCTGTGTGACTGCTGCTCTCCCAGCCAGCAACCCTGCAGGCATTCATATTGCAGGACCCTGACACTTCTGGGTTACTGCTAGTGATAGCCATTGTGCAGACAGGTGATCCATCCCATTGCACGCCCCCACCAGGTTCCCCTTTCCAGGCTTCCAGAGGCCTGGAGAGCTGGTCATGAACCCCCCCGTCCGTCCTCCCCCACCCCAAGCGCTACGTCTTGAGATTGGAAAGATGTGCAGAGTGCTCCATTCAGCAGGTCATCAATCGTATTTAAATAGGCCAGTTTTCTGTGCAGCCTGCCTGCTGTGCCCTCCACCGGACACAATCCCTCCTCTCTGTTTAGCAGCCGGGTCGAGACTCCCTGGGAAATCTGGAGCACTTCCTTCCTCTCTTCTCTACTTATTGCTCAACAGCCCCAGTTTGTCTTTAAGGAGGTTTTTTTTTTTTTTTCCCCTTCTCGATTGGCCTACTTGATTTTGAGGGAAAATTAAAGATTTCACCTTTTGAAGCTGCCATATTTAACTTTTATAAAAACATACTTTTATACATGTTTGTTGAAACTGTCACTATGTCTTGACAGTTTCAACAAACTGACGACATTTGTCGTCGTAGCAAATGTCGTGACAAACAGATAATCAGATAATCTGTGAAAAAAAATCGAGCTCCTCTTCCTTCTCCCAGTGCCAACTAGAAACAACCAATCAGAGCCTGGAGGTGAGTCTTAGCGTTACAGCTTCTTCCCATTAATGCTAAGGCTAGTTAGCATGACGGTGGATAAACAGTTTTCCTATAAGGCTAAGTTGTTTCTCCCATTAGCAATAAATGCTGCACATTCCTGTTGCTTAAATTGCTAATGGGAGAATTAACACATTCACAGGAGGCAATGTGTTAAGCCCCGCCCCCTGGCTTTGATTGGTTATTTTTGACCAGGAATGGTGTGTTTCTTCAGATGGCAATAGTAGCTCAGGGAGAATGTGGAGATCAATCTGATTATCTGTCTGATAACAAATTGTCAAGACATGGTGACAGTTTTAACAAAAATGTAAAAATAAAAAAATAAAAAAAACTGATCAAAAAAGCTTCATACTGCAGCTTAAATAAATACTTTTGGATATTAAACTTGTATCCAAATAGAAGAAGGCCTGTCAAAATTAGATATTTTTTAACCTGAAGGATAACAAAATTATGAAAGAAAAAAAATTGAAGTGCTTCCAAGTTGTTAGAAATGCTCTCAGGTGTTTCTCCAGAGAGGCAGAGTGCAGAGTGAGTCTCGGACCTGACCCTGTCTTTCCACATTCCTTCTCCTTCTGAGTGATTTTTAATCAGGGGCCCAATTCCAAACCCATCCCTCAAGGTATTCAACCCGAGGTACATTTCATTAACTTCTCTCATCTCACTGCTGCCATTCCATTTGCACGGTACCATTCTTAAAGATGCACACTCAAGCGATAATCAGATCATTCTCTGCCCGACCAGAGGTAAAAATAAAAAAATTGGTGGAGATTGAATGTCCTCTGCAGTGGGCCAACGTCCGCGGTGCTGCAGCGCTGACCGAGACCCCGAGAAGCATTTAGAAATAAACTGTGGTCATGTTTTTAATTCGTTTCTGTGGAACATCCCTGCTATTACTTACATTTGAGCCAACTGTGACTCCGTACCCTTTAAAATGCTGTCTCAGTTGTTGCAGGCCAGAGGTTAAATAGCCACCATGATGATGCTGAGAACCTGTACTGCCGGAGGTTTGGGGGTGAGAGTATTAAAGGATTAACCACCACAGGATTTCTTGTTTCCGTAAGGGTTTCGACATAGAGAAGGTGACATCAATCCCTCTCCTTTCATTTCTCATGGAACTATGGTGATGAGGCGACAACCGGTTGCCGTCCTCTCATCAAGCGACTGGTGAAATTTGAGTATGTGAAATTTCGAGTTCATCCATGTAGGTGTGCACACATGGGCTAATGACATGACACGAGAAAGTTGGAAAATATTAAACTTTTGATGCTGTGGCTACCATTGCTATTGTGTCCCGTGAAAGAAGGAAGTGGATAGAAACACAAGAGGAGTGAAATGAGAACCAAACATAAAACAGCAGCTAAGGATGAGGCTGAACAAAAACTAAACAATATATCAAGAACTTAAAACACTGAACTAAATCAGAAAAATAAAATCCTCATGATAATGACATCATGTGATGCTAGGAGCACGAAGGAGGCTTTTGGGAGAATGTGTTAACTTGAAATGGGCGGTGGTTTGGAGGGTTTACCTTAATGGGTCATCTTTTAATTTGCATTCTGAATTATGCTAAACAACCCCTTCAAAACATAAGAGCGTAATAATATTTGTATTCCATGTTTATTAGTGCTGTGCGATGACAAATTTAGTTTTAAATCAGGACAAAAAGAAGACCCAGTAAAAAAACACCAGCAGCCTCCACAAAGCTCATCACAGATCCCATCCCCGGTAATTAATGATTTTCCTAAAAATAAAACAACATTAGCCTCCCGCTTCGCACCCCTCGCCAGGCAACAGCTGGGCAGCAAGGACTCAGTGACTTCGCCGTTATCTTGGTACCGCTGCCAGATCGATGCGGCGCCCTGCTCGCTCCGTTTGGCAGCTTTGCCACATTTAATGGCCACAGATGAAGACCTAAGCTCCCCCACCCCCCACTTACCCTCATCACACACTCTCACACACACAGTGGGGGCTGAAGGACTCCTCTCATTTACAGAGCAGACACCTCCTGGCCTCCCTTCTTCTCCTTCAGGAGGACAACCGTGTTGTCCTGAGGAGCTGACTCCAGCAGATGGATTATGGAGATCAAGCTGCGTGTGAGCTTGGTAATTAAATCTGATGCCCTGACCGTGGCTCCGAGCCCTGGACCTTCTGTCCAGGTTGTGGCCCTTTGGCCCTCGTGCTCCCCTCTCCTGCCTGGAAATGCAGTTTGAACTTCAGCGGTCAGCCACGGAGCCTCCAGAGCAAATAAAATCTGATCTAAGCCACATTTACTTCACCTGGAGACGACAAAAAGTTTCTATTTGATCAAAGTATGACATACGTTTCTGCTTTTACTAAAATGTGTCACGTTAAATGAGCAGTGACTTGCCAAGGTTTCCACACTACAACTTTTTAACATTTATAACATCACAACTGGAAACTTCATTGTGTAGTATTGTTAAAAATATATTTTAAAAAAAGATTAGCAACAATAATATACTGTGCAAGATTGTAACATAAAAAAATACTGTGTAGTCGTCAGAAAGAGAAGACATGTAAATCATGTGCATATGTACTGACTGAACATTAAAAAAGCCACAACAGATCTATGATATTAAATGTCCAAAAACAATGCAACATATTTTTCCAACATATTTATTTTTTATTTATTTTCAAAAAATAACAAGACACTGTCTGTTGCTCTGTTTTTAGTTTTTAAGCAATATGAAATGTTTTTACTGAATCAAAAGAGGTGGAAAAGGATTTGTGCCCTTGCTGATCAAGGTTACTGTCGTTAATTAAAACTAACGAAATAACAGGAATTGAAAAAACATTTTTGTTAATTAAAAAAAAAAAAAAAACCATAGTTAATTGGGAAAAACTAAAACGAACTATAACTAACTAAAACATACTGGAATTATGCATATAATATTCTTTGTTTTTATGTTTATGACTATCAGACTTTTGAAAGGATGTGAAATAGATTTTTTTCCCACCACACAAGCAGTTTACAGCAGTTTACAGCAGTTTACGGCTCTCCATGCTCCACCTCGTGGCGCTAATGCTAGTCCACAAAAGGATGACAGCTAAAGTTCAGTGATTGAATACATTTTTTGAAAACGGTATCATTACCCAATCGATGAAAGCACAGTCACAATACAATACTTACAATAATATAGTTACTAAAAAATAAATATCTAACTAATAAAAACTAGCAAAAACTCTCTAAAACTGACCAAAACAATCTGAATTAGACAAACAAAAAGTCACAACAAAATAACCTAAGCAACACTGAAAAACCCAAAACTATTACAACTTGTTTCCTGATTCCTTGATTTGTGTGACAAACATGCAAAGAATAGGAAATCAGAAATACTTTTCCACGTCATTTTATCCCAGAAACCCGTTCAGGTCCAAGTAGGACAGTGATGAATATCATTTTAAAAGATTCTTTAACTAGACCGTTCTGCTGCCTGTCGTTTCCCATGAGCACAGAGCTTTTAGGTGACTGTGCCGTGTCTCTCCGTGTGTCCAGGCAACCCGCTGCTTCTCAACTCCTCGATGCCGCCCGACATGACGGTGGGACGGACGTACAGCACGCCGCTCTGCTTTCATGACGGCGCCGACAAGGAGCTGTTTGACCCGCTGCCGGACATCAAGGTCAAAGTCCAGAGCTCCTTCATGGTGTCTCTGGGTGTGGCCGAGCGTGCCGAGTTCCACGCCAAAGCGCCCAGCGAGTCTTACCCACAGGACCTCAGCTGTGACTTCTGTAGCACTGTGGACAAACGCAAGAAGGGCCCCCTGACGCTCAACGGGCCCCTGAGCGGCAGCAGAGAGCAGCTGAGGACCAGTGGCGTGTTCGGCCATGTTGGAGGCCGGCTGGTGGTGCCCAACACAGGTGAGCACCACTGGAAGGGGAGATGAAGGTGTGTAGAGCCCAGCTCTGTTCTCGCTCTCTCAGTAACGACAGGCTGCAGGAGCCTCTCATCAGAACTGTGCGATAGACTCGATCTGCCTCCAGAGGCTCCTCAACGCCAGCATTTAACAGCTTCCTCCGGGTTTTCTCTTCTGCCTCGCCGTTCCTGGTAGTCATTTCACCAGTAAAACACGGCCTGTGTGATGATTCAGCAAACGAGGAGCACTGGACAGAAAAACTGGTCCAAAACTGGGAGGAAAATTAGGGATGCATCAATCAGAGATTTGTGGAAATCAAATTAATTCCTTCCAACCGTCCATCATCACTTATACCCCACAAAAACATAATAAACAATACATCTGTGCGATGTTAAGCACCGTGATTTGCAAAAAGAGCTGGCCGGTCACTGGTTTCCTTGGTTACCCGTCGTTGTCATGCAGTTTTAACATTAGCTAGCATGTCGACAGCTAACTGAAGTGGATACCACTTTACAATAAGGCTCCCCTTATAGATGGCTAATGAATATTTTATTGATGTGTTATCTATTCAACTGTAAACACTTTATTAATCATTAATAATTGTTTATTATCCATTCATTAAGAGTGATGAGGTGTCAGACTATCTTGGTTTGCTATCTTACATAGATAAAATATGTAAGTGCTCATACTTTGCTCACTATTTGGCAAGAAACCTGTAGATTTTGTCTCATTGTCACCCTTAATTAATGCATAATAAACAGTCATTCAAGAGTTATAAAGTGTTTAGAGATCAATTTATGAACTTTTTATTAGACATCTATAAGATGAGCCTTATTGTAAAATGGTACCTTACAACTGTTTATCACAGTGTGATAAAATAAGTTATGCTACCAAGTTGACATTAGTGAATGAGAAACGTTTTAATGATCCAGACACATTACATGAAGGTGAGTGGATAAAAGAGACAAAAGGCCCAAACTGTAGTGACTGGTGGACCTTACTTACTAGGAAGCTTAAAGCTAATTTGTTAAAAGTAAGATCAGCTCTCAGTGAGATGGGCCTTGACAGGGTTTTCCTAAAATTGTGCATTTTCATTAATAGTGGAATCAAAATTAGCTTGCAAAGGACAAATAAAATCCAATGTTTTCTACCTTTTGGTCACAATCGGCAACCATTTTGTGTTTCAGTTCTAGTTTTTTCAGCCGGGCGACATAAAAATCAGTGTTAGTAATCAAAGAGCTTTGCTTACTAACACATCTTTCCCAAAATTCATGGGAAAAAATTCCATGAATTTTGAAAAGAAGATGTAGCAGTAGTCATGGAGGCGGGTGGTAAACTAAGCCATCAGACATGTGCAAGAAATAAAGCTGCATGCAGGAGTTGCACCAGGCGAAGAGAGGTGGTCTGCACTGGCTCCGAATTGCGAAAAAGTTTATTAGTGTAATTTTAAATAGTTGTAATAATATATTGTTGCTTTCTTTCTGCAGGCAACATGCAGGGTTGACTGATTATCCTGCTGCAGGATTTCTAGAAGGATCGTATGAAATAATGATAAAACAATAAATGATTGAGAGCCTTTCTCTGGGACACCCTCCTGTCTGGCAGGTTGTTGAGAGGGATTTTTTTAAATTTATTTATTTATTTTTGGAAGCACAAACAACTTCCAATATGACTTCAGGGAAAACATCCTGCTGCTTGGTGTGGGGCCCGTTATCCACATTACTGGCACTTCTATATACCTGCCTGGAAGCACTGGCAGCACTTCTTCTACTGTCTCTGAATTTTCAATTACAAAGAAATCTTTGGCATTGTTTTCTGTGTGCCTATCAGGAAAGAAAAAAAATCACCCATAATATTGTTATTGTACAGAGCAGCGCTTCATAAGACGACAGCTTTGGTTGGCACCTCTTGGGTGCCAGAGTGAGAGACAGGCACTCTTACACCTTCATATTTAGGGAGATATTTGTATCCTTTTTTTTTTGTTTGTTTGTTTTTTTTGGCCATTTGTGTTCGGAAACATTCATATTCAAACACTGGTATTTACAGTTTCCGCTGTGTTACTTATAGATTGATTTCACAAGACATCTTGAAACCAGGGCCTGACATAGGAATGGCAAATAAACAAGTGTTTGAGTTGCAGTGCTTTCCGAAAGCTGAAAGCACTGCATCTTTTCCATTATTTGGACCATTTCCCATTTTGTGCGAATGAAATTTTGGAGCTATGTTGTCAGTAGTTCATAGAATAAAAAAACAATGTCCATTTTACTCAAACATATACCTATAAAAAGCAAAATCAGAGAAACTGATCATTTAAAGTAGTCTCCTGTTTGTTTCCAGAGATGTATATCAAATATGACTTCACAGAAATTTGCCTTTGTAATTTAGCGCCTTTAAATTGGGCCACTGTCTCTTTAAAAACTCCTGCTCTTTCTGATGCTCTGCTTTCAGGAAGTCATCACAACATGACTCCTCTTTTAACCCTTTAACAACATTTTTACCAGCGCTGCACTGAGAAGTAGCTACAATAATGACCTCAATAGATGCGCTGTTCCACCAGCAGGGGGCAGGTTTGTTCAGTTGAATGGTTGCTACAGGAAATTAAAGCACTTTTCAAACATTCATGAAAGAATGAGCCTTTAATTTAAAATGGTTAATAACTCAACCACAGATACTTCTTGACATTTTTATAATACATTTCATAATAAACTTGTGTTGTTATTGTAGCCACATATTGATAAACGATCTCTAAACTGAAATCATCAGCTTACAATGCACAATAAGTGTATGAGTTTGTGTAAGCTGACAAAAACCACAGAGTCTTGAGCCAGTTTGTCAAACGAGACCCGCAATTGAATCGGACATTCACACACAACGAGGAGTGTGAGCGGGAATACAAAATAAACGAGGCTGTCGAGGGCGTCGCCAGCAAATGTTGCAGTTGCCCAGAAGGTCACAACAGTGTGTGTGTGTGTGTGTGTGTGTGTGTGTGTGAAATGCGGCACTCTTCGCCGTCGGCCGGCTTTCTGGGCTGAAGTGAAATCAGCCTCCTGCAGGCGACTTTCAGGCCGGAGAATCTGAGTCAAGGAGTTGCTGCCGTCATCAAGTGCGACGCTCACACGGCGCGTCTGCAGGGACCGCCGTTCATTAGCCTGAATCGCCAGCCCCCACATACTCCACTTTGCCGCAGATTACCGAAGCCTTTGGTCACCTCGGTGATGAGCCGTAAAGCAGCAGCATCTCTCATATCTGCGCGAGTCTCACAAAGACTTTGAAGATGCAACCTGTCAAGTTGAGGCTTCGCCTTGGATCCCAACACAGCAGGAGCGGACCACATCGCAGTTTGAAACATTGAATTAAATTCAAATTAGAATAACATTTTTAAAAATTGACAAGCAGCTTCCCTCCGTGAATTTATGTCCTAATTATTCCAAAGACCTCGCTTTGAACGTTTGCTGCAACTGGAGCGACTTTCTGTCAAAGAAACGGCTCCTGTGTGGATTCAGAGGCCGAGAGGTTTTAAATGGAGGAAAAAAATCACTTCTCGTCTTTCGCAGAAGCGAACATTGTGACCAAACGTTTAGCCGACCTCAATGTGTAATGGTTTTGGCAGACAACATGTATTTTTCTTTCTGTTCGGCTCTGCGTGAAAATTAGTTCTCATTTAATTCAATTCAGTTTATTTGTGAAGTTATTTCACAACAAATGGTGTCTTGAGGCAATTTACAAAAAAGTAATTTTCATTCAATCACACATACTTTCCAAGTGATCCTAGTTATTCAAAAGTGAATTAAGCTGAGTTTCTTCATCAAATTAATTTAAAAAGTTTATCTTAAGGACATTCTTGAGATCCTTGGGAATGAAGCAATCAGACAGCAACCGTCTTCAGTCAGGGGCCTCTTCAGATTTGTTGCCAGGCTGACTGCTACTGGAGATTGTTCCTGCCCCACAGCAGGAACTCAGAAGATGCTTGGATGATACGAGTATGTTGTGCTGCAGAAGTCACGTTTTGACTATAAATGATGTTCATATTGCTTTAACATCCAGCACCTTAGCCAGGATAAAGTATTTAAAGGGGCAGTATTATATATTTCCCAGGCACATGGAGCCATTTTATACCACAATCAAGTTATCATGTTACCTTCAGTTGTTATAAAAATGCTGTACATACAAAATATGACTGACTTCATGGGCTGCACAGTGGCACAGTTGGTAGAGCTGTTGCCGTGCAGCAAGAAGGTTCTGGGTTCAATTCCCGGCCCCGGTCTTTCTGCATGGAGTTTGCATGTTCTCCCTGTGCATGCGTGGGTTTTCTCCGGGTACTCCGGTTTCCTCCCACAGTCCAAAAAACATGACTGTTAGGTTAATTGGTCTGTCTAAAATTGCCCCTAGGTGTGAGTGTGTGTGTGCGCGCATGGTTGTGTGTCTGTGTTGCCCTGCGACAGACTGGCGACCTGTCCAGGAACGTAAGCTGGTGATAGGCACCAGCACCCCTCCCGACCCCACTGAGGGACAAGGGTGATCAGAAAATGGATGGATGGATGGACTGACTTCATAATTTATCACCTTGAAATTGGGCCTCTGTCTCTTTAAGAAACTCCTGCTCTTTTTGACACCACCTTTAGGAAGTCACCACAACATGGCTTCTCTATTAACACTTGAATAACTTTTTTTAATCAGTGTTTCACTGAGAAGTAGGTGATGTAATGAGCTCAGCGGACGTTTGCTAATTACCGCTGACTAGTCTGAAGGAGCTGAGTGGGAGAGTCGAGGGGAGGGGTGCTTGAAAAGCTTGAAGGTGGAGCTGGGTCCACTCAGGTGTTCTTCACAACTGAATGGTTGCCATGGGAGATTAAAGGATTTCTCAAACATGCATGAAAGAATCATGGCGACACTTCAGCCATGTATTTCATGAAGGAAAAACATAAAATGATGTCAACCTTCAAAAAGTTGATTTTACATAATCCTGCCCCTTTACGCTGTTGCTAACTTGCTTTGACTTTGACTAGCTTGGAGAAATGATCACCCTTTTTTTTTAAAACTTATCTCACCCTTTATCAAAAGCAAGACTGAAGAAATGCGGTTCTACGTGTTTTCCCTCCTCTGTGGTCCTGGCAGAGCCGCTGGTCTGATGTGTGAAACAGTGTTTATTTGATCCGAACAGACTTGTTAGAATTCGCATTTCACAAAACGTTTCGCTTTCCACAAGGCATAGAAAAGCCTTCTTTTAAAGAAGTCTGCTCTGCTCTTGTAAAGCAGGACCTTTTATATGCTCTTTGCTCCTCCATGTAAATGCGGCGCCACTTTGCTCAGCAGCAGATGAAAGGCATTACGCAGCAGTGAAGGCACAGTGCTGATGTGTTACCATCCTGAAAAGACTCTCCACTTGCTTTGCTCTAGTTGTCTAATCACCAGCTCCATGAACATGGATGATTAGAAGAGGTTTGGAATTATTCTTCTTTTTTACTCGGGCATACACATCAAACTTTGAGTACAGTTGCTGTCAGAAGCTTTCTCATCATGAACATGAAAGTTATTTTATGACTAGTCTAAGATTCTTGACCGCCATTGGTGGGGTGACTTTGATATGAGGCCCATGTTACACAATAACTGTTAATACATTTGTTACCTTCCATCTTCACCAGACTCTGTTGGTTTTTGATTTAACTGTGAAGCTTTCCAAACCAACCAGTCACACCTCAGAACGGAGAAATCACGTCCAGATTTCAAATATCTCAGTCAAACTGTCCACCTGATGAGAAAGAAGATTGGTCAGGATGTTAAGGGACAAACAAAACAATTCCTACCCTGCTCAGCAGAAAAAGAATGATCTCAGTCAAGTTAAAAGAACTGACATGAGTATGGATAAAGCCGGGTATCTACGCATTGTAAATGAAAGCTGATTGTTGCGGGAGCTTCGTTTGGCCCCGCGCTGTCAGGCGGCCATGTCTGCCCATGTTAACACGGATGTGTGTTTGTGTGTGTTTTTTTCCCTCAGGGGTCAGCCTCCTTGTGCCTCACGGAGCTGTGGCTGAAAATATGTCCTGGGAGATGTGCATGGTCATCAATCAGGGCGAGGCGAGGTGAGGCTCCACTTTTACCCAAATATCATTTCAAGCATCTGTCAGTCGCTCTGCATCGCATCGTCCATCTGCTCCGACTCGCTGTCCGTCCTCTCTGACCCGCTCGCCGTCGCTCTCCTTTCGCCCCGCAGCTGGCGGTGTTGCGGTCGGACCGTTGCGTATCCGGCCGCCGTTATCTCACCGAAACCAATTAGAAAGTTTAATGTGCTCTGTAAATGGCGGCTTAATTAGCAAAGAATTAGATTGAAGCTTCGCAGCGTCAAAGTAATGTGATTTGTTACCACATAATGTCTGTTGAGTGGAGTTTAATGAGCCTGTTTTTATTTATTTATTTATTTTTTTTTTTAAATCCTCTCATTCTGTGGAGTGTCATGAATCGAGTTAGAAAGGAAAAAAAGGGGCATTTAATGATGATAACTATATTTAACATTTGTTTATTTCACAACTTACTGCATCCTGTCCCCTCTTATTGGGTTTACTATTGGGTTGTTTGCTAATCTTTTACATAGAAAGCGTCATAGTGACTAAACAAATAGTGTCTAAAGAAAAAAAAAAAGACATACACAGCTCTTAGTTTGAAGTGATTCTAAAAGGAGCTCTTTGCAGATTTGGGCTCATAAAATCCAGTTCCTCTGACTAGGATCAGCACTATTCAGTCTTTTCAGCTTTCGGGGAGCTGTGTCAGCTCTGAGAAAACGCTGTGTCATGTTGGACAAGGTGGTTCTGAATTTTAATTGCATAGCCGTAACACACACGGCTGAGATGGCCGCTCCGCTGCGCCGCAAAGGTCGCATTGAACGACGGAGCTGTGAAAAAGTCTTTCTTCTCTTCAAGGTTTCTTCTGCTTTAGTTTTTTTTGTTTCACACTTCAGTCTCTCAGACGACCAAAACATGTCACATCAAAATGGAGTTTTTAAATGGTTTCATTCAATAAGAGAAAAAAAAAGAAACCTAGTTATCTAAACCAATCTACTTAAAAGAGTAATCCTCCTCTGAATGGAGTTACTTGTTGAGCTAACCTTATATAAAACTATAATAATAAAAAAAAAAATAATTGTATATTTGTTGTTTTAAGTCATCAAAATGAGGAATTGCTGTTGTCGTCCGATTTCAGTCAAATGGTCACTATTTGAGGACTAGTTTTTGTTTGTATTGGTATAGGCCTGTCACAATAAGCAATAAAACAATTAATGGCATGATAAATTCAAAAGATCTCAATAATTTCTATTTGAATGATTTATCATTTTGCTTTTTCCTGTCTTTCTAAGATTGGATGTTAAAAGTCTTCAGTCAGGTGTTTTAGTCTAAACTAGCCTCTTTTTTAGAAGATCAGTTTTGTTTCCAGAAACTTCATCATTCATTTTATTTGTTGTTTGATCTCTGATTTAGTGATCATGTGCTCTTGCTTTATGATGCCGTTATCAATTTATTGCTTGAACATGGTCTCAAAACAATATTGTCATTTATTATAAAAGCAAAATGTGTTTCTTGATGGAGCTATATCTCTATGTTATAGATCAAGGGTGTCAAAGTCTTTTTTCATTTTGGGTCATATCAATATCAAGAAGTTTGACTTTGTAATTTAATGAATTGAAATTGGCCCTTTTTCGCTTTTAAAAGCTCCTGCTCTTGCTGAAACTCTGCCTTCAGGAAGTCATCCCAACATGGCTCCTTTAACCAGCATTTCACTGAGCCGTTACTCGTGTAATGAGCACAGATGAACAGTTCCACCAGGTGTTTGCTAATTGCTGCTGGCTAGTCTGAAGGAGCTGAGTGAGGCGGAAACTCGTTAGCTTGGAAACTGACGAAGCTGACGGAGCTTAGAGGCGGGGCTAGGTCCACCCAGGGGTTTTGCTCAGCTGAATGTTGGCATGGAGATTAAAGGATTTCTCAAACATGCATGAAAGAATCAAAGCAGCACTCCAGGAATAACATTATGACATTATGATAAGCTAAAAAAAAGTTGATTTCATATAACACTGCCCCTTTAAGAAATAAAATCATCATCAAAACCTTACACAGTTTATATCTGAGAAAAAAAATTGTTTTATGATGTAAAACTTTTAAACATGACAAAACAGAAGCGATATTACATATTACTCTTGTATCGTATAGCAGCTGGTGGGCAGTAGAACCCTCTGTCATGGAGTCTGGACGTCTAAACCATGACCATCTCTGTTCGCTGGCTGACCCTGAGGCTACCACAGCAGATGTGCCCAGCCTGACTCCCGTTCCCCACAGGACTCCTCTCGGCACCGCGGCGGTATGGGTGTTCGCATCAAGAAGCCTCTCACAGGTGGCAGTCTGTGCTTTGATGTCCCAGCTGCAGGGGAGAAAGTTGAGTTCGAGCCTCTCTGCAGTAGATCCCCTCATTTAGTACTTCACTTTGCTGGAGGAAACAAAGTCCAACCTCCAGTCCTCCAGTCTCTGCTTTACAGCCTCTTTCACTGCTCTGAGTGTCAATATGTAGTTATCAACTACTCTTGGTGTCAACAATGCCGCCCCCCCCTCTCCCCCACCCTCCCCGGGAGGCAGTCACGACCCACAGAGCTAGTTTAAACCATGATGAATGCAGAGATGAACGGCGCCTGGTGTGCTGACGGATGTGCACGCCGCAGACATCTCCCTCAGGCCCTTTCATCTCGCCATCGCACCGTGTTATGCATTCCTGTCACAGCTCGGTAATGACCCTCGGACGGACCGAGCTGCTCTGCAGGAAAGGTGGGGAGGGTGGGGTTCCGCTACTCACGCTCCCCACGAGAGCTTCCAATTCCCTCTGAAGTGTCACGATTTATTCACAATGATCCTTTTGAGCCAAGTCACAGAAGGAAAAAATAAAAAAAAGACTGCAACAAACGCGTTAGCTGGTGTAATGACGGGGCCGTGGCTCCTCTCAGCGGCGCCATTAAATAAGAAGACAGAGACAGCAGAGACATTATGCAAATGGAGTTTCTTTAGATCACTTACGAAAGTAAGGATTCAATGCTGCAGCCGGAAACGTGAGGGTGATATTTTCGTTGAGGGTTATGACAAAAAGAAGGAAGCCGATCTTTAGGTTAGACGTGTGATGTTTCGGTGTCGATCCGATACTAAGTAAATACAGGGACTGTATCACCGATACCAATACTGATACTTTTTATTTCAGTTGTGTCATCAAACTTCTGATTTTTTTTGTTTTTATTTGTAAAGCACATTTCAGTAACAAGTCAGCTCAAAGTGTTTTACATCATAAAAACACAAGAATAAGAAGTCATAAAGACAACAGAGGCAACAACTGAGAAACCAGTAACAAACATTACATTTTGACGAGGGCTATCATCTAGAATACCAGTACACATCATATGTTGGTCAATGTTTCATTTATTAGGGTTAAAAAGCAACACTGAACAGGCGGCTTTTTAGTGTAGATTTAAAGGCACTCAGTATTTCAGTTGCTTTGCAGTTTTCTGGAACTGTCCTCCAGATTTGTGGTGCATAGAAGCTAAATGCTGCTTCCCCATGTTAGGTTCTGGTTCTGGGGATGCAGATCCAGAACCAGAACCAAATGCGAGAATCTAGAGATAGCAGGAGAAATGGTCTTTTACCAAAGACAAAAGATAAATCCTGCAGCTGCTAAAATGGGACACTACTCTGTTATTGTTTACATGTTGTAAAGAAGGAAGTTGCCCTCATGTCTTCTTTGAAGGTTTTTGGTGTAGCGCCACCGCTGGTGAGGGGGTGAACAGGTTTTTCAAAGGTTTCGGTTCATTTGACAGAGCACTGTGAAAGAGAAATCTCTGACTGAGGTTAAAGGTAGACATTGCAGAAAAAAGGTGAGACTGCAGTTTTAGTAGTGCTAACCACTGTTATTTGTGCTCGCTGCTAATGCACTATGCAGCAGGCAGTTAAAAGTATGAACTCTACTCATTCTGTCCTTGCATTTTAAACCTGGGGAACAATCTTGTGTATGTTGATGGCTCGCTCCCACACTGCATGGCATTACCTCCACTCTTACTGGGGTAAACTAACGACTGCTCTGCAGGAAGGCTAGGAAAATAAATGGAATGCTGTTCTCATAGAATTTTATTGTCTTTAGTGTTAAAAAAGAAATTTAAATTGGTCAATATTTGTATCACGAGGTTGGGCACCAAGCATTATTAAAACCACAGATTGGAAATCAGTTTCAAGTGATAGTCCCTTTTCACAAAGTCTGTTACCATTTTCTGTTATATTTGCAACAAAAAAAGTGTCAAAAGTCAACACAGTTTGCACTAAAATTGTATGTTTGCATCAACAAAGTGAATTTCAATGAGCCATCTGTCAAATTCTATGTTAGCTGTTCAGTTAAAAGGTTTTTTGCAAGTGTGTAGTAGAAAGCAAGACTAACTGACAGGGAATAAACTAAAGAAATACAGCAGGGATAAAAAATGCAAGAAAAAAACAAAAACACATGAAACTGAGTGCCTGGATGAGCTGAATAAAATCCAACTGAAACTGTAAAACACAAAGTCTGAAAATGAGAACAAGTAAGCAACACAAAACCTGGCACATGAAAAGTACCGTCACCTTTTCTTTTGGAGTTGTTATTGTCTGTCGCTCTGTGGGAGCCAGGCGGTATGTGCTGATGTTTCTGGTAGAAGCCCGCATTCGTTCTGTGGTCTGCTGTGGTCGTCTTCTCCCTGGCTGTCAGTGCCTGTCTGCATGTTGCCAGGCTACGGGACATCCAAACTACTCTGTCTTTTACTTTACTGCAAAAACACCAGTCTCTTCCTGACCTAGTTCTCCAAACTCAGATTGTTTCCCGCTGGGGTGTTTCTAATTACCTCCAGGCTCCTGAAGCTTCCAATGCATAGCTGAACATTTTAAACAAGTTTTTTTAAGTCAGATAATATTCACTCTCCCTTTGTGGTTACCTAAGGATGTCTGCAAGAGGACTATAAGTTGTAAACAAAGTTTAACGATCATTGCTCCCGTTGGACAGAAATGACTGACAGATCGGGATAAACAAACATGGAGGTCCT